GTTATCCCAGTAAAAGAACAGAGCCTGAGCAAAACTCAGAGCTATGGAGTTGCTTTATATGGCTGGGAACATACATGTTCCATATATTTGAGATGAAAAGAGAAAAGCAGAAGGGGATGGAAACCAAGAAGTAGGCATTATTATCATTATTTTTAAGTAAACTGTCACTATATCTTGTAAGTACTTGACAGTTATTTTAGGATTTTAAGAAATGGGAGAAATTGAGTAAAGAAATACGTAAAGTAAATGGGACTTGGTGACCAATCTGATACAGGTTGAGGGAGAGGGAAGAGTCTTCCCCTACGTTTGTGATCTCTGAGACTGGGATAATGGAGATGATGTTAATTGGCATAACGAACAATGGGTGAAAATGATTTCAGTGTGAACATGTCCAGATGTAGATGTTCAGTGTGGGCACTTAGAAATACACCTTCTCCTCACTTATGGATGTATTTAGGTTCCAAAGAGCATGTTGTTGTGTGAAAATTAGTGCTATGTGAAAATGGAGGATGACCATATCAGATCACAAAATATAGGATAACTACATCATTACATGATTATCCAATTTCCTCATTACATAATTGCCAAATTGCACAATTACATAACTGCCAATCTACTGAAAATAATGGCCCAGCTACGTTGGACATATAACTTTAACTATCACAGCCAACATTACTCTCACTTTGCACTTTGACATTCATTACTGCCAGATGCACATTGCTAATGTGCAAAATAGTTGGATAGTAGATTTTTTTTTTTCTTTTTTACTATTGTTGTAAATACAGACTGTTGCAATAATGAGATACTTGATAAGTGAGGAGTAAGTTACAGGTCTAACCTGTACATGAATCAGGAGGCTGTCATTCAAACTGAATAAGGTGATACTGCATGGTTCAAAATCAAGAAAGGAATGATCAAGGTTGTATCCTTTCACCATACTTATTCAACTTGTATGCTGAGCAAATAATCCAAGAAGGTGGATTATATGAAGAAGAACATGGCATCAGGATTGGAGGAAGACTCATTAACAACCTGTGATATGCAGATGGCACAACTTTGCTTGCTGAAAGTGAGGAGGATTTGAAGCACTTACTGATGAGGGTTAATGATTACAGTCTGCACTATGGATTACACTTAATATAAAGAAAACAAAAATCCTCACAACTGGCCCAATAAACAGATTCACAATAAATGGAGAAAAGATTGAAGCTGTCAAAGACTTCATATTACTTGGTTCTACAATCAACACCAAAGGAAGCAGCAGTCAAGACATCAGACAAAGTATTGCATTGCTCAAATCTGCTACAAAAGACCTCTTTCAAGTGATGGCAGTGTGTTTGATTTGTTAAATCACCTATAAGACAAACAATAGCCTAGTAAGCAACTTAGTGGAGACCATTTTGCCTTACACATGGGCATTTGGGAGAATTATCCATGTGCAGACAATTTTGAGAAACAAGAACAAGTGTCTTTTGAGAAACAAGAACAAGTGTCTGAAAGGAACCTGTGTTTTAGGGTAAATTCTTATTATACGAATATTAGTTTGGCCGCCTATTTCCATGAAAATGTTGATAAGATGTGGTATAAGAATTTTTGAAGTTTTTCTCATCTTTAGAACATTGTTTACTCTTTAATCAAAATGTTAGCCTGATTTACAAATTGCATATTAATGAATTTCTATTATTGGCTTAATATGATTTTTTATTTTGACGTGTACTTTGCTTTGTAATTTCAGTGGTATGCTGGGGATGATATCTTGACTGAAGAGGGTGAATGATAACTGTGGGTGAAAAGGGAGGAGGGGAAAGTAGCCTATAGAGGATTTGGAATTGAGGACAAACTTCTTTACTTTTTATTCTTGAAGACAGAATCTAGGTGAGTAGTTTCACAGGCTGCAGGAAAGGTACCAGCAGAGTCAGAGAGGGTGGAGATAGTGGGGAGAGAGGAGTACACTGACAGAATAGTGTCCTGAAGAAGATGTGAAGGGATGGGACAAGGTGAAGTGGGAGAGATCAACCCTGAAAGGGAGTGTAGACATCTTTTCTTCTGAGACAGAAAGTATGGATGTGAGGTAGGCCCAAGAGTTAAGAAGCAGTGAAAAAAAATACCAACTTTGGAGTCAGGCTTCTTTGAAATAGAATCCTAAATCTACCACTTATTGGATGGACACACGTGAGTAAGTAAACTTTTTTGATTCCTTGTATTTGAGATAAATAATATTCCTTTCAGAGTTGCTATGAAAACTAGTAAAAAATCCCCTACTAAGCACATATTTAATATATAAGCTGTTAGGATGAGCTTCATTGGAATCAGGACAGAGTTCTGAGATCTTCATACAAACACTGAGGTCTAGAATCAGAATTCTTCAAGAACTAAGAAATGGGATTTTTCAGTCTCCTGAATTACCACATCTATTACCCACCAGCCACTCCTTGGAAGGAAGATGGGCAATCTACTTCCATAGTTATACTGCCTCGGAAACCCAAGGAGAGGTCGCTATGAGTTGGACCCTACTTGACGGCATACAACAACAACAACAACAACAACATTAAGCAGATGCACCTGGTAAACACCTGTGCTTTTTACTCCTCTCCAAATTGTAATACAGGACCTCAAGCCAAACATAAAGGAAAAGCCCAATTCACAAAATCTTCCGCTACTTATGAACTGACTGCAATAATATGTCAAGATCTCCCAAGAACAGAATTTATCCCAGTTCTCCTGAAAATATTTACTCTGCCCTGTGCTTCATGTATGATGAGAGGAAGAGGCTTAAACTGGAATGAACTGTGAGAGGTTTCATTATCTTTTACTCTTTCTTATATAACCTGTGTTTAGAGTTCAACTTAAAATTACTATGTTAATAAGCTCATAGTAACTACTGACAACAGATTATAGCTTCTGATCTAAGCAGTCACTGAGCATTATGTATACTGACTCTGATACAACTCTTGTGATCTTATCATCTTTCTGCCCCAGCATGGAGGGTATTTTCTGAGACTCACAGGTCTTCCATAAATATCCTTCATCTCTGCACTGTAATAAAAATTCCAGACAAAATGCCTGAAAATTCACCAATCTTTGGTCTCAGGGTGGTAGAGTCTCAAATGGACTCATAGTAGGACAAAACTGGCAAACCCAGAGGATAGTTGGTTTTTACTCTCTTCCCTCACCCCACCTTTATTTTCCTGTTACTTTCATTGAGTGCTTAATAAAGGGTTTTTGCTAGAAAGAATTAGCAGAGGGTGATCTTTTTTGTCCTTACTCAGCTCATTCGTTGAGCAGGATCAGGGCATCCTGAGGAATAGTATGGTAGTATCAGAATGAGGCAAGCCTAAATGAAAAGTTAAACTTAGGACAGAATTAGAGATACTGGAACAGTTTCTTCCTTTGGAGTACTTTCTATAGATTCTGGCTTTAAATTAAAAATCAAAGGTTCTTGGATTTCTTCTTTTAAGAAAGGTAATTAATAATACCCTTCTGCCTTACTAATCTCACTCAATAATGATTTCTCCATTCATTTCTACAAGGTTTAATAATTTGCATCTCACATATCTTTATGTACTCTCGTTTATGTTTCTTTGCTTGCTTCTTCTTCTTTTTTTTTTTTTTCCTGAGCTCCTATGTATGTTCCTTGATGGTAATAGTCATTCTTTTGACTTCTTTGTTTTGTTCTCTCTCCAATGCTCAGCATGGTGCAGGGTACCTGACCACTGCTGCATAATTATATACAGTTGGCTCACCTGTATTGTATAATGGTATAGTGCTTGGGATGATATCTGCAGATATCATTCTGACTCTAAGTGCACTCAAGGTGGCAAATGCTTTAGATTATGTACAGTACTCTGAGATCTTGGCAAGCATCAGTGTGGTACAGAAGTCCATGAATATTGCTCTAGAAAGGCATGTGCAATTGGGACTGCCATATTCCCTGAAAAGCTGGTTTGGGAAAATAACAGTAACATCTACTTTTATCTAGCTCTTTGCAATTTAGAACTTAGTTAATAATACACTCATTTTAGCATCACTGGGAGCTCTGGTAGGGTAGTGCCTAAGGCATTTGACTGCTAAGCAGAAGGCTGGCAATTCAAACCCACCATCCACTCCTCAGAAGGAAGGTTGGGTAATCTGCTTCCATAGTGATACTGCCTTGGAAACCCAAGGAAGGGTTGCTGTGAGTTGGATCCGACTTGATGACAGTGAGTTTTGTTTTTTTTTTGTACCTTATACACTGGTTTTGGAGACACTGGTTGGGCAAAGCCTATTTTTCAAGTGGAAAAAGTAGAATGCACAGAGATAAAGGACTCTATGCACATTTACAAAATTGGTGAGTGGAAGAGCTGGTACTTGAACTCAGGTTTTCAGCATCAAAATGCAGTGCACTTCCCATACCTTTTTACTAGCTCAGTAGACGATTATTATTATTATTTTTTTTAATATAAGGAAAACTTTCTGGGACCAGAAGGATCTGAAGACTTCATCCCCTTCACCAGAAACATGGAGAGATAGAGTGGATCCATCTTCTTAATTGACAATAGGATGAATCATAAATTTGCTTGTGTAAAACTTCCTGACTTGGACTTTCCCTTCCAGACTATGGGAAAAGAAATAGAATGTGGGACGGTGACAAGAATATTTCCTTTTTAGTGAAAAAGAAAGGGTTAAAATTTGACCCTTTAAATGTTTAAGGTGACAAGGGCGTGCCGAATTATCTAAATGACAAAACTAGGCTAAAAGGCTGCATTCCTTCCCTAATAACTTTTTCAGCTTCTAGGGAGAAAGTTAAGGGGTGTGAGTATATGTGTCTGGGGTAAGGGTCAGGGAAGGGAGAATAGGATTCTTTCCTTCTTACAGGCTTTCTTTCTTTTTTATTTTTTAAAAGGAAAAAATAAACGTTTGGTTCTGTTATTAAATTCCATTTATACTTAAAACATAATTGTAATAGAGAAAGTTCAAGGCACGGAGGCGCGTGTTCTGATTTGGTTGTTTACCATCAATCAGACCGTTGCTTGGCAGACACTGGATGGTTATGAGCCTGAACAAGCTGAAAAGGGGCAGGAAAAGAAGTGGAGGCAGCATTCTTCCTATTTAAAAGCTGCTTCGCTTGAAAAAAGTTTTCGCAGACTGTGCTAGAGCCGGTGCTGAAAAAGAGGGCTTGCAGAGTCTGCCCTGGGGCTGGTGCTGAAAGAAGAGCCCGCAGCTGACTTCATGGTGCTACAATAACCTTAGAATCTGCTTTTCACTCTCAGAGGACCCACATGTCTAATATTTAGACATGATGGCAAACTGGGTGGAAGCAAGACCTCTCCTCATTCTTGCTGTTTTATTAGGGCAATTTGTCTCAATAAAAGCCCAGGAAGAAGGCGAGGATGGTGAGTTTGCCTTTTGCTTTGCTTGTGTTTACTGCACGGTTTGGGAGATAGGTGGAATGTTAAGCCTCAGGAAGAGAGTAAAGAGGTTCTGGTTTGAAGTTAAGAAGGGGGCTGACAGATTTGCACCTGGGAAACGGCTCTGAAGACAATCGGGATGTTTGTGAATACGGAGCTTCTAAATCGACTTTTGGAAACAATACACTGCTACATATTTCTGGGAAAGCTTAGGATGCGTCCTGTTGCCTGAGAGTGGAGATTGGGAAGTTTAAAACAAAAAGAAAGTGCTTAAAACTGAGCAAGAATGGCACTTTTAGTCCGAGCAGTTCTGTTCTGTGAGCTGGAGATTTCAGAGCGAGGAAAAGTCGTTGTAGAATCTGGGTAGGGTGGAGTCTTTTTTGTACTGAACTTCAGCTGCTTTGTAAAATTCTTTGTTTAGGAAGACCTCTGCAACAACGCTGATAGCTCTGATTTTTCTTTGTCTTTCCGTTTTTGTCTTCTCCCTTTACAGACTTTCACTTCTTTCTCATTTTTATTTTTGACCTTAAAATCAGATTTGCTTGCTGAGAGGCTACTCTTTTATTTCTCCATGGCAGAGACTGGTAGAAGCCAGCTTTCTTAAGCAGTGGTATTTTCCCACCCTACTGACTTGATTATCAGGACACAGTTGATTCCTGGTTGGACGGGCAAAGGCAGGAAATCAGCATGCCTGGCATAAAACTTCTTGGGCATGGAGTAATTGATTGGATGGGCATTATCCCTTAGACACAAGTTTTATTTATTTATTTAAAGACAAGTCTTGTTGAGTTAACAATTTTTTTCCTATGTAATTTGCATATACTAGGGTTGGGCTATATGGTGTGCTTAAGCAAAAATGCATGCCTAATCTAGAAGATAAGAAAATATTTAAATTATTTCCACCAGCAATTAAACCCTTAAATTTTTAAATATAAACATGAACAGTTACATAAAAGGCCATTATAGATTTTCATAACTCTTTAACATCAGATTGAAGCTTTTAAGATTTAACATGTTTGTTAAACCTTTCTGTTACTCTTTTCCATATGTATGTGTGTTTTACTACCCATCTCTGTGTATCTTTGATCTAAAGATGTTCATAAAAATTAATCTAGAGATCACATAGTCTAGAAACATTTGAACAGTGAACATAAGAATCTGGGGAAGAATCTCCACTAATCTGTCAGGAGTTCCATAGAGGGGGCACTTTCTATAATCTTGGAACTTTTTATGTTACATTTTATACCTCGAAAATTGAGATGCCTTATAAGAGGTAAAAATTCTTACATTTCATTGTAATGGCATGAAAACATGCATTGTTTGGAAAGGCAGAGAATGCAATTAAATTGGAAGTAGAAGTCAGGAAAGGGGAGAAAAAAATGCAGAAAAATTACAATAGAAAATCTTGTTATAAAATTAATAGCTCATTCCTTTTTCTTACCAAAACAAAAAAACAAGTTTAACTTAAAATATAATTAATACATCTTTTCTTTACAATTTATTTAAAAATTAATAAATATTTTTTATAAAGTGTTGACATAACCATGTGAATAAATGGAAAGAATGTTTAATAAAGTCTATGGAATAGGCCATGTGTTAAAAGACTTAGCATATAGTTATAATTACTCTATAGGAGTTCCTGAAAAATAAGCAGAGTTTAATTTCCTTAATACTATTTTACATAAATGTTAGGAATGTGATGCAGGATGCAAAAAAAAAAAAAATCCCTAATGTCAAACCAATGCCCTTCCCCTCAGTACAAGCAAATGGCCTAGAAACCAGAATTCCAAGCAACAGATTTTATAGAAAAAGTGTAATTACTTGCATATGTATTATAAAAAAATAAATTCTTCTGTTTTATTACTCAACCTAAGAGAATATATGTGATAAAAAATAGTCAAATGAAGTAGTTATGACCCTAATTAAAGATAATAAGGAAAAGATTTCCAGAATCTAGTAATATTCAGAACTAATTAACTTTCATTATATTTACTTATCATGCATATTTTGGTTTAAGTTTATATTGTATGGATACTTGGTAATATTTTATTATTCCTGCTCAAGTATGCTACAAGCTTAGCAAAGATGTCAGAATTTCAAAACACCATGTGATTTTGAGTTTGGGAGGAGTAAGCTTAGGTAAATGCTATGGTCAAAGGACAAGTCTAAAGCACATGTGTAAAAAAAGTATGATTCTCAAATTTTACCTATAGCTACTTTATCTTATATGTAAGTCATGTAACGTGATGTACTTTGTGTACAAATTATGTCCCCTTGCAAATGTAGACACTTGTTATTACATGTAAGTGCATTTTTATAGTTTTTTTCTTTATACATGAAGGTATATTTTCCCTCTATTTAAGTATGCTTATTTATCAGAAATGTAAAACATAAACATAGTGCTTGCCTGATAGAAATACATATACATGATGAGTTCAAAGTAAATAAATTAAGTTTTAGAACTTTTAAGACAAAAACCTATTATTTCTCACTGAATTATAAGAATGGGTATGATTTTTTAAATATATAAGGAAATGAAAGGAGAAAGTTAGAGAGTTGGGATAACTCTAGATGCAACTATTAAATGACAAAAACCAAGAGAATGAAGATAACAAAATCAATTTTTCAAGAGTTAGCTTTTATTTATTTTTGTGTCAGTGGTAGGGAAAGGGAGTAGCTTTTAAGGATTCCCTATTTGTTTTTCGGAAGAGAAATTGTTAGTGCATTATGGTATTCAGTAATCTCTAATGAAGATCTAGAACTTATCAAGCTATATGCATTCTTGTTATAAGAAGTAGGTGTGATTAATATTAGAAAACAATGCTTGATATGATGCATTGCATTCAACACCAGGTGAGCAGTATGAGAACAGAAGGGACAGAATGTACTATTGCATTTCCCAAAACTCTAAACTTCAATGCTTTCAGAGGCCAGGCAGGTAACATAAACAAGTGAAGTAAGTGAATATTTGTGCCTCAACAGGGAATGGGGGGGGGCTGTGGAGATGTGAAGATGTGTGCCTACTTCAAAACATTTAAACTTGATCTTTTCAAAAAACATTGCATATGCCAAACAAAAATATATCTGTTGGCCAAATTTTGCCCCTGTGCCATAAATTTGCAACCTTTGTTTCATATTCCTGCACTGATATCCTGGATCCAGACTGACTCTTTTTTTAAATACATGATTTATTTAATATATTTTTTTGTTGTTGATAAGACCATACACAGCAGAACATACACCAATTCAACAATTTCTGCATATACAATTCAGTGACATTGATTATGTTCTTCTAGTTATGAAGTCATTCTCATCCTCTTTTTTTGATTTGTTTTTCCCCATCAACATAAACTCATTGTCCTCTGAGTTGCTTATCTAATCTTTTGAGACTGCTAACCAGAAGATTGGTGGTTGAAATCCACCAGCCACTCTGCAGAAGGAAGATTGGGCAATCTACTTCCATAAAAATTTACTGTCTTAGAAACTCAATGGGGGTCATTATGAATCAGAATCAACTTGAAGGCAGTAAGTTTGGATTTTTGGTTTATAGTCAAGAAAGACATTCTTCACTAATTAAACTATACTATTGTTTGACTTTAAGACTTCAAGAGATATTTTTGGTTGAATGTTTAAAGATTTTCTCAGGGCAATAGTTTTACCCAAACCAACTCTTAAGTACTAAGAGATGAGTTGTCCAGAGTCTGTTCTATATCATGGTCTTTTGAATTTTTATTATGTTAGGTCTATGATTATCCCTTGTTGGTATGAGTCAGATCCAACTCGTGGGCAGTGAGTTGAGTTGAGCTAACCATTATCTAACTGCTAAAATTTGATATAAAGATGTGGGTGCTTAGCACTCAGCAAAATTTGGATGGGAGAATTTTAAAGGTTGCATAGAATATGAATACATAGCTTGAGAGATGTATTCACTCAAAAATTAAGTTTTAACTTATTACTGCTTAGACCATGTAGTACATACAAAGGCTTGTCTTTGATAGTGGAGCTCTAGTGGCATAGTGCCTAAGGCATTTGACTGCTAACCAGAAGGTTGGCTGTTCAAACCCACCAGCCACTCCTTGGAAGGAAGGTTGGGCAATCTACTTCCGTAGTGATACCACCTTGGAAACCCAAGGAGGGGTTGCTATGAGTCGGGTCCGACTCGATGGCAATGTGTATTCTTGCACAAGGCAATAAACAAAAGTTTGTTTTTTTCCTCATGTAAAGAAAGTTTTAGGTAGGCAGTGAAAGATAATATGTTGGCTACACAGAGTCATCAGGAGCTCTGACTCTCTTGCTCTCCACTCCTATAGCTCTAGTGTATTGTCCTTGATTTCATGGTCATCTAGGGTCAATGGAGTTCTAGCCATCACTTTTATTTTCCAAGCATCTGGATGGAGGAAGGGAGACAAAGATTGCTCCCCCACCCCCCATTTTTAAAGGAGACTTTTAAGCTTTCATAAAATTTCACTTTGTAGATGGCCATAATTTAGCTGCAATGGCAGCTTGCAAATGTAATCTTTTAGGTAGGCAATGTACCTTGCTAAATATCAGCAATCTGTTACAAAGGATGGAAGGGAAAATGTCTATTAGGAGACAACTACAGTCTTGACTACAATGAGCATAAGTGTCATCCATTTTTAGTGGAATGGCCAGAATTCAGTTGAGTGATCGATCCACCCTGGTTATTATTGACTTCTGAGTAGAGTATGAAGCCAGCAACACTGGGTGACACTTAAATATTAGGTTGATTTTCTTTGCTTCCTTTTCCTTTTCAGATAAACTTAGAAGTATATATAATTTATATCCAAACCAAAGTGAAATTTTATTTTGAAGAACATATCTCTGTTTTTCTAGATAGGTAGATCATGAGATAGATAAACCCAAATCTACTGCCATTGAGTTGATTTTGACTCATACTGACCCTATACGACAGAGTGGAACTGCCCAGAGGATTTCCAAGATTGTAAATCTTTATGGAAGTAGAC